GGGTAGTTAATTGACATTAGTTTCTTGACGGGTATAATCTATGTAGTCTGTCAATTGCCTATCTAAAAGTGTAATTTATTAATAATTAATATAGTAAGTTATATTATATGTAAGTATGATATGTAAGTTTCTCACTGTAAAATGTAGTAAATATAAACTATAAAGCAAATAAAATATCACAAGAACAGACTTTTTTTAATGAGTTATTTTAATGATTATTTTATTAATTAAACATAAAATGATAATTTGACAATATGATTACATTAATTATGTAATCTATTTTTTCACAATACAACTGTTTTTGTATCTGCCACAATAATCTGCTACATTTTTAATCTATTAAATATGACGAATAAACAGAAACTTGATGGGTAACCAAAGTCCTATTCTAAGTAATCCAATTTTTTATATTTTTATGTATGTAATGGGATATAAAATTTCTGACACAGTATAAATCAAAATCTGCTGAATATAATATCTTGCAGAGAAAAACCTGTTAATGATGAGAGCATTAAGATGGTTTTGTCATGCAAACATTGGTGTGTTAAGTGGTACATTTTGGAAGCATTCTTCCATCATATTTGACTTAATATAAGCATTCCACTTTGTATGTCTATCAGGATTTCCAAATGTAGGTTTTTACTGAATATCTTAGAACTATATTTCACTTACAAGATGCTTATGAGCAATTTGCATGGATCTTTGAATGCAATCCTCTTTTTTTAGTAATTATGTTATTGCAGTTTATGTCTAACATCATTATCTTTTTTTTTAGAGTTTTATGTTTTTATTGGAGGAAAGACAGACGATGTGTTACTCGAACTTCATACAAATCTTTTGATTAATCTGTCTAAAATGTAAATAAAACTTGTATGGTTAAAAGTAACAAAAATATTCATCTTGTTCACATATTGTACACAATCACAATATCCAGGAAAACCATAATCATCTACAGACGGGAGAATATTTAACACTAATCTCTTATAATAAATCTTAATTCAGTTTGATGTCCAAGTAAAATCATATAATGGAAGTTAAACTGAGTAATTGAGATGTTTAAATTATAAAATCTAAGTTTAAAGTAGATCGCTGTGAAACGTATTGCTGATATTTAACATGAGTGAAAAAATAAGAATATGTAACCCAGCAGTGGATACGTCTTTTATTATGACAGACAGGTTGATGGGAGCTCTGCAACATCTTTTCTGAAATGTATTTCTTACAATTTGAAGAACCTCAAACTTGAATGGACATTAAAGGGACACCAGGCAGCTAAACAAGTTAAGCTAAATTAAATCTAATAAGCTCGAAATACCTGTTCATTGAATTCTGTGTAGTTTTCCTGAAGAGCTGTAAAATGTTTTGCTGTTTTCAGCAATGTAACCCAGGCTTATTAGCCACCCCTCTCACATTTCAAAATGTTTCTGATTCTCAGACTCTGAAAGAAACATATCTTTTGCAACCAATGAAAATAGAAGCATTTCTTATCTAGGCTAAAGAATGCTCACAGCACAGACTGCAATGCAGCTAGAACTTGTGTATTAGGGAGGATAGATAGGTGGGAGCAGCAATATATAGAGATTTAAAATCAGAACCAGAATTTTAAATTGATATCTTACAGGAAGTCAATGTAGGTACTAACAGAAGGGTGAGGCGTGGGAGGTTCTGGGCGGACAGGAAGATGAGCCTTGCCGCCGCATTCATTATGGACTGTAACAGCACAAGTTGGGAGCACGTAAGACCACTGAGAAGTGAATTACATTAGTCAAGGCGAAAAAGGACAGTGGACTGGACCAGTATCTTAGTCGCACCTGGCGTTAAGTAGGGTTGGAGCTATATAGGTATTTATGAGTATGTCTGTCTCTTTATATATATTTATAATAAACATATGTCACTATATTATATCTAACATGGTGAGGAAATGTTTGTGTGTGTGATGTGGTTTGTAAGTTCTAGTGTCTGAATACAGAGGACTCAGAGGAGGCTTGGACAGGCATTTTGGGCATGTGTCTTATCTAGTCTAAGGAATGCTCACAGCACAGACTGCACTGCAGCTAGAGCCCAGCTAGTGCTCCTCTCCATCCCTCACTGCCAGTAAAACAAGTAATACATTCTCCTCCAATCCCTGTTAGCCTGGAAATTTGTTTAACCCCTTAAGGACCAATGATTTTTGAGATACGATGCAAAGCCATTTTGCCACTTTTGCACAGAAAAGTAGAAATATGTATGTCTTTTAAACCTGCGTACATATACAGTGTTAAATAGGAATAAAGTACTAACACATTTAAAATAAAAAATAAAAAAACACATTTTATTCATTTAAAGTAGATTCACCAATTATTTCTGATTGTTAAAATGCCCAATATGTTTAAGATTTCAATGATTTTTTAGAAGTTATGAAACAAATACTGCAAGGAGTAAACTATGGTTTTAAAAAAACAACTTTGTGCTGATACATTACTCGCGCGAAAACTCAAACAAAGAACAGAAAACAAACGGATACATAAAATAACAACGCTAGAAGGGGTCACCACAGAAGACCCGGAAAACATAGCTAAAGTCTTTCAAAAGTACATTGAAACTCTATATGACCATACCCCGGAAGCACAACAACACCCAATTCCAGCCAAAACACTAATAGACCAATACTTAAACCAAGTATCACTGCCCACCCTCCCGACCGAGGCAGCACAAAATATATCCGGCCCCATAATGCCAGAAGAACTGGCTGAGACAATAAAAGCACTAAAACCCAACAAAAGCCCGGGCCCAGATGGATTCACGGGACTCTACTATAAGACATACGCCCCTACGCTAATCCCACATTTATGTAACCTATACAACGCCATACTACAAGGTGACCCACTACCAAAAGAAATGCTACAAGTGAATGTATGCCTCCTCCCTAAGCCCAATAAAACACACCTCGAACCAGGACACTTCCGACCGATTTCACTTCTAAACGTCGACATCAAACTGTTCACCAAAATCTTCGCAGACCGCCTAAGCCCCCTTCTACTCCGACTAATCCAACCGGACCAAGTAGGCTTTATACCGGCAAGACAGGCTAGCGACAATACAAGACGTATGTATGACCTTATCTGGACAGCACAATCGAGACATATCCCTACCCTCCTTTTATCACTAGATGCTGAAAAGGCCTTTGATAGACTGCTATGGCCCTTCTTATTCACCACACTAGAAAAATTTGGATTCTCACAAAGATTTATAAACGCCCTACAAGTACTATACGCCACACCTCAAGCACACCTCTTACTCCCTCTCACACCCCCCCCCCTTCACAATGGCACACGCCAGGGTTGTCCGTTATCCCCAGTACTCTTCGCACTATCACTAGAGCCACTTTTACAAACCCTGAGAAACAATAAGGACATAAAAGGCCTAAAAATATTCAAGGAAGAATATAAAACAGCAGCCTATGCAGACGACCTGCATATTACAATCACAGAACCGACAAAATCCATACCACCTCTTCTAACAGCCCTGGAAACATGCACCCGAGTATCGGGCTACAAACTCAACATAGATAAAACAGAAGCCCTCCCAATACACATAGACCCCTCCACACAGACAGCCAAACACAAAATATACCCATTCGACCTAACTCCCACTAACATCAAATATTTAGGGATCTCAATACCAGCAGACCTCTCATGCTGCTATGAACTAAACTATACACCCACGATCCAAAAAATCACTCACGACATAGTCACATGGCAAAACATGCCAATATCTTGGTTAGGACGGCTAGTGACAATTAAAATGAACATCCTACCAAGACTGCTATACTTATTCCAAACCCTCCCGATCCCAAAACGCAACACAGACCTCAAACAGCTACAAATCTTTCCCTCCCTATATATCTGGCTACCAAAGTCAGCAAGACCCTCCATACCCCAGACATCCCCTGCAATCCTAAACACCATCAAAATATGGGACAAAATAACCCACAAGAGTGGACTAACAACACAACCCTCACCACTAACCCCACTACTTCGGAGCACACAATTCCCACCGGGAATGACACCCAAAGATTTCAAACGCTTTGAAGAAAACGACTTAACATGACTATACCACTTCTACAAAGACCACCAACCGATCCCATTCCGAGACCTCCCCCAAAACACACCATTTTGCACTTTAGACATGTTTTGTCATTTGCAAATCAGGAGCTTCTTAGAAACACCAGCAATTAAACAGGCAGGAACCAAAGCACTGACTCCTTTCGAGAAACAATGCCTACAAACCCCAACACTAAAAGGCCAAATATCAGCGTTATATTCACACATAATAATACATACAAAAGACGGAGCACTCACATATGTGTCGGCCTGGGAGAGGGATATAGGACCAGCGGAGGACCCATCTGACTGGGCTGAAATATGGGAAGCTACAGCCACCATTTCAATTTGTGTTAACCACAAAGAGCAAGCCTACAAGAAGTTTCACCCCCCTAAAACTTAAACAGATGGGCAGGTCAGACAATGACTTATGCTGGAAGGGCACATATCTCCATATGTGGTGGGAGTGCACCCACACATCACAGCTATGGTGCCAGATAGCAGCCATGGTATCCCAGATCCTACATACAGATGTACCATTAAACCCATGGATATGGCTCCTGTCCAAACCCTTAGCAAACACACCAAGGGCCCAAAACAAACTAATAGCTAAAATCGCATTGGCCGCAATGAGAGCAATAGCGGAAAAATGGGGCAGCCCAGACACACCTACAATAGGCACAGTCAAAAAGAAAATAAAAGACACTATAAAGATGGACTAAATGTCCGCACTGGTCCACGACACGCCCAAACACTTTCATAAAATATGGGACCCATGGTTCTACAAACTCCCAACGCTACCCTAACAAAACAAAGGAACAAAAACACACACTGAGACAAAACTAAGCCACACTAACCGCAAACGCCACACCGACCCAATACCTCCAACCCCCTCCCACCCACTAGCTGAAACACCTCATGCCAGAACCAGAACACACCCGATACAACTCACACACAAGCAACATCTCACAACACACTCCCCAAAGAATAAGACAACCAACCAAACCAACAACAGCAAAACCACACAACAGAAACCTACAAATCACACAAGACACCCAAAAACCCGAATGCACTAAATCTGACGAACTCACCACTCGACCACGGCAACAACAGAGAGGGAAAACAAATACACTAGAAAGGAACATACAGAACACTCTGGGAACAGACACCCACTGATTAACCCCGAACGGAACAACAAGAACCATACCACAGGACGCAGAATGACATAAAGCATAATCTTATAACACCCCAACTATCACAGACAATCACACGAGTAAAGCAATGATCTAAACACACAGCAAAGACTCAGGGGAGACAAGAGGACCGACAAAAGAAGTTCACACCCCCCCCCCCGACCCCCTTCCTATCTGGCTACCTTGAAGAGAAAAGACATAACCTCAAAACCCGACCACCCTACTCATACCCAATCAGGACTACACAATAAACCAGACACAAAACTGACCAAGACAACCCACAGCCTGAAAAACAAAGAAAAGAGGCTGTAATAGGGCACCCTACCACCTTCCCCTCTTTTTTTCTGTACCCCACCCCAACCATTAGACCACAGAATAACCACGCTGGATAAACGAAAAGACAATAGAAACAAGAATAAATAAAATAGAATTTAAGAATGAAAGATGTAATCAGACCCATTGATGTATAATATAATGTAACCAGAACAAGCCTACACTGTAATAACTAAATTATAAATGTTTACCCCCTGTTTCTCATTCTGCACCCTACCCCTCAAAAATGAAATATAAAAACCTGACAGATAACAAATATTCTTACCTGCACAGTCTGCTTCTGCTTAAGCCCTCTACGGTATAATAAGCCACATACAGAAAAACTATGTCATATTGCAAATATCTGTCAGTGAACAAATAAAGAATAAAAAAAATAAAAAACTTTGCAAAATTTGGCATGCTGAGATTACAATTTAATCGCATTTATGGAATACAATGCCCTATAATCCTACCACTAATCCAATCACTAACACTAAACAAAATCCTTCTCATAATCCTACCTATAATCCTACTCCCACTTTCTATTCCCAGTTCTAATCCCACCCTTTTATCTCTTTCAAGGGATTCTATCTTCTGATGTCAGTATTGACATCAGCAGAGGGATTTCCTATGTTACACCTAACAGAGGGCTATGTGAGCACTCTGTAGTGTGTGATTGCAGTATGAGAAGGAGAGCCCCCTTTCATGTGGCAGCTTCGTCACACCAAAATAAGTACTGGTCAGCTGGCAAATCCCATTATCAATGCTACAGCAGGGGGAAAGTAGGGAGATATCAAATTTTTAGACCCTGGGGTACTCCCTGACACTAGAGGAGGGGGAAGTCCCAGGATGGGGGGAGGCAGTATAATTTAAAAATTTACAGCAGATGTGCAATAGCATTAAAGTCCATTTAATAATATATGTGTTTTGATAATAGCTTTTCTGTTAGTCTGGAGCCACAAGTGATAGAGAGGACACCAGGCTGGGGGCGCTATTAGAAATACTGCAGCTGATCAGGATCAGGCATTTAAATGGCTCAAAGTGAGTGCTGCACATAGCTCAACTGTCAGTCTGTGGCTCCTTACTGTGGCCCCAGCTGACAGAGGGGACAGTCAGGTATTGAAATATACATTGGGTTCCTTGGTAACAGCTAGGATTTAAACATTACTGGTACTTTTACTACCTAATGGTTTTTGTTGTCAGTTATTTTTAAAGCCCTGCACACTATGATGGCATAAGTTGTTATGTGGTCTTTAAGTGATTATTTGTGAGGGTGTTCAGTTTGTTTTCATGCAGAGCACAAGCATTTTGGTGATATTAATTATGAACTATACATTTTTCATCACTTTTGTGATATTAATTTTGTAACTATTTACATTTCTTACCTTATATCATATATGATAGTTATAGTAAAATATGCACAAAACATAACTTTTTCCATTTCAACTCATCTCACAGGGTCCAATATTTAAGTAGACTGCCAATGTCAGTCTCCTGTTCATGACCTCTGTTCCTCAAATGCCTTCTACTTCTGCCATTTCTCACTCTAGCTTTCTATAAAAATGCGGGTTCTTTTTAAAATCATATTTCTTATCCATAAGCTTGCCCATAGCTGTGCCCGATCTACATATCCTAATAAACAATTATAACTAACTCTGGCACCCTTCTTCTGCTTTGATCTACAAGACTTCTCTAAGGGTGCAATATTTATTTGACTGTCATTTAGACTTTTCACTACTTTCAGAGTCTTTAATAAACTCTTACAAATGCCTCCGTATGAAAGAATATCAAATAACTCCTGCATTATCACCCCTTTGTTTTAACTAATCTCAGCTTCCCTTTTCTTCTCTTTGACTCTATTCAAGTTACTCTTATAATATTTAAAGACTTATATTGTTGATTTTCTAAGCAATCCATTTTGTAATAATAATTTGATTGTTGTTAAATTGTATTATGAATTGAAAAAGGTCTATTTCACAAACCTGTGCTACTAGGATGAGGATGTATATTATTGATTAATATTAATGTAAAAAACTTTTTAACCAGGAACTGTTCAGTTAACGTTTGCTAGTAAGACCTGTCCAGGTGATTATTATTATTATGCATATTAATTGTATTCATTTACTGACTTTGGAAAAATGGGAGGCTTAATGTCCAGGAAATTAACCTGAGACTTGGATGTTAGAACTCGAGTTTTGTCTACTGAAAACTGCTTTTCCATATATTAAATTAAAGTTGCTGTTTTTTTTATGTCTGAGGGTGTAATATAATAAGTTGTGCTAATAATTTGCATTCTGTGTTTGACAGATCCATCTGTATAGACTAAGATTGCTGGTTTGTCTGTTTTGCCTCTTTTCGTGGAATTACCTGTCCGTATGCCCCTGTTCGTTTATTTGACGTTTTTACCGAATGAACTTACCGAACGGACGGCCACCCAGAAGAGAAGTGTGCTGCTGGTTAACCTCTTGATCCCAATTAGAACGTTGTGGTTAACCGCAGACACCTCTCAATTATAACCGAATACAGGGTGGTCGTCGTTCGCATGTCGACCACGAGGCGGCGGCCATTTTAAACCGTGCGAAGGACCAGCGGTGTTCGGCACAGATTCTATGGAACTAAAAACGGACACTTTTTCTGCCAAACACCGCTAAAACCACAGACCGCCCTTCTCAGTTGACAAAAGCATGCGAACACCGGCCGTTCGGGAGTTTGGACTACACGAATGGACTTAACCCAGATAGCCTTCCCATGGAGTCAATCGCACACCGAAAGACTGTAAAAGACTTTGACTCCATGGCGATTGAACTGTACGTATGAGACCTGAGCGCTATTCGCTAAGAATATGCACTCAGATCCAGGCTATCTGGGGATACGTTGCACGAACGGAATATGTTCGGTAATTGTATAATTATGTATTTTTATGTGGTTTTTATGTTTCATCTAAAATGGCGATTTGCCTCTGTCCTGGGAGATAATTGAATTACTTCTCAATTATCTCCAGAGCAGAGGGGAGTAAACCATGATGCATGCTGGGAATATTATGTGTCTGTGTGTCCTAACATGCTCAATGTCTGTCTGCCATTACAGTCTCCCATTTGGTCCCCTAGGGGAGTGTCCACCAAGTGGGAGACCTGCATAAATACAGGCGGGTAGCCCACAGTAAAGCCAGTTCTTGTTTTACCCTCAATGCGAAGCTTGGTCTCATTATTGGGGGATTTACTACACACGGATAGCGACTGATTGCTGGAACCGTAAGCCACTTGGATGATATAGTGATTCGGCTGTTAGCGGCGATTCGTGGGTTTATCGCTTGAGAGTTGGAGTATCCGTACCAGTCCGGTTCAGGAGGTTAGCGCTTTCCCCTGTTTGCAGTTCGTATGATTGGAGTCTATACGAATGGAGTTTGTATTATTGCAAGAGGGGAGGATTCACTAAACGGCGGTTTTGACTATTTGATGCTGAGGGTGCCGTTACACTGTGCATTCGTTTTTACCCCCAGAATGTATGTCCTTTACTGTCCTTCAAAATTGCTAGAATTAATGAAAAATACCCCAAAATACCCTAAAAATCACAAGACTGATCGCTCAAATAGCAACAATAAATTATGCATTCTTCATACAGAAGGTTTAATGTGATAGCTGATATTAAATACAAAAAACTTGTACTTTTCATATTTTTATATTAATTGCATTTAGTGGTATTAAAAGCCAATTTGCAATTTTTGCCCTTTATAAAGGAGTGTCCCACTTGATATTGTGTGGATCAGCATGCTTATTTTAACTTAGAAACAGGCATATAATATTAGCATCAATCTATATGCATTTTCTTTTGCAGTCTCATCATTTCCTTGTTTCAAGCCTAGGGCTTAGCGGTTGGAGTTCAGAAACAGACAGCTTTAATGTCATTGACTGACACACAATTTATTTGCTTACTATATTGATATTTGTGCTAGCTCTGCCATTTGTCATACAGTTTTCTATACCTATAATTAAAAGCAACCTAAAGTCCCATGTTGCTTTATAAATTATCTTCAATTTTGATTAAAAAGGCTTCAATTTTCTTAAATCATGCTGCCAGGTTTTTTAATATCATATCTTGGAATGTTAAGTTTGAATAGCTGCAACTTCTAGAGTCAAAGGTTTTAGTTTGTTTATTTTTTTTTATACCATTTTTGTTCCGATTACATTCAATAACACCACATTGTAGTGACTGGAAAACTACATTGACGAGAGCTGATTTTAAGTATTTTCCATAGTCATAGTCACAGCTTGGCTACTTTAACATGAATTTAGTAATTTTGTTTTCACAAATACACAATTCGGTATTTAGTGAATGAACCTCCTGCTGTTTAATATTTTAATGGTTGATCAGTTTTGAATACTGTATTCAAAAGTCATATAAAATAGGAATTGCATGCTTACGGATTCTTTTCACCACCTACTGTTGCACTATGAAAGCACACTTCATTAAATATTTGAATTTGAATGTGCCCATAAAAGATTGCTAATTCTGCAAAAGTTAAAAAGAGGGAACATATATTATTTGTCTTCAAGAAATAAATTTTTATAACCAAAACACCCATCGGTAAAAGCACCCAA